GTGAACAGAAGGGGGAGACGAGAAAATTCAGAGATGCAGAGGCAGAACGGAAGAGGAATGGAGAGGGAGAGGGGAGGGAGGCAGAGTGGGAGGAGTTAGAGGAAAACAACAAAGAAAGGTGGGGGGGGACAGGTTACGCAACATTTCTACTGACAACCGCAAGTAATCAAATCAAAGGCAAACAACACAAGCTGTGAGAATGAGAACACAGTACAGAAATAGATGCTACGTATTTCTTTCTATATGTCAAGCAGGACTACAAAATTGGAATAATTATTTGAAAAGGAATGAAAATCGGGTAATGTTCCAGTATGCTATTTGCACTACATACTAAATACCAACCAGCACAACACTGCAAGGGAAGTTTTTATGCTTTTTAAGTAGGAATAGTTACTCCACTACAAATGATGCAGGTACAAGCAAATACTATAATTCTCCCCCATGTCTCCAGTGTTTTTCTTTATTCAGTCTCCTCTGGTGTACCAGTTTTATATTTAAAACTCAAACTGGACAATAAGTCCAATATTTTATTCCTCTTGGCTTGACATACAGCGAGAAAGACAAGTGTATTAAGGTGATCATCAGTCCTGTGTTTATTTAACAACACACTTTTACTATAATCACACAGTATGCACTTCTTCAGTCTTTGTCAAGACAAGATGCCAGATCATATGAGATCATCATTATCTCTGTGTGTGTATGTGTACGTGTGTGTGTGTGGGGATGAGACAAGCCTCCTACCCCTGTGACTTGAAGAACTGCAGCAGCATGGGATCTGTGTTCAACCTCTGCGCTACTGTCTTGGCCACCTGACAAAACAGACAACACAAACATTACGAGTGGGGATCACCACAGGCCTGTCAGGTTTCATCTGTGCCTGCTACCTGAAATGCCAACAGAGAGACTACAAGGAAAAAGGAAAAAATATCTAAAAGATAAGAATTAGAACCTTTAGATATTTTTAAGATGCACCACAATTTTTTAGCAAAACGATTCATTGACGAAGCTGAACAACCCATACCTGAAAATAGTTCATACGGTTAGAAAGCGTGACCACGAAGCCAGGATCATTGTGGATGGTCTTGTCACAGAAAATGACGTCCACACGGTGGTAGAGATCCCGGAAATAGTCCTTGGCCGTAGGCAGCTCACTGCTGTCGTTCTCTGGGTCGTCCCTGCATGATTGGACAATTGATTAATTTAATCAAGAATGTGCCAAGTTGATGGGGGTCGTGGAAGGCAGAAATGACAACGGGAGGGAAGAACAAACCGTACAGACAGATGTGACAAAGGCAGATGGAAGCATAGGTAGGAGAAGGTATGAAGGAGGACAGACAAAATAAAAAGAAAGTATAAGGCAACAGAGGAAGCATTGATGTGGCATAGACAAAATATTTCTAACTAAGATCTTCCTAGTTCCTTTGAATTTCATTAGAAATACCAGAGTCCAGAGACATGTAAGTCCTCTGCCTGTCTCTGGTGTTTTATTTGGACAAGATTTAACATGGGGCACTGTGCAAAATCAAATCATACAAGTTCAGCTTAAAGTGCCTTGTGAAGTTTTATTGTAAACAAGCTAAAGTTATGTTTACATCCTTGAGACCCAACAAACGCATTGAGTGCATTTCCTTCTTCATGAAACATCAGGTTCACTGGCTTGCATTCTTCTTCACCGCTTCGTTGGCGTATTGCTACATTAGTTGGCTGTCGCACTAAACTAAACTAAACTGAATTTGTGTGGAATAAACATTACACCATAGGACTGCTAGCAGTCCAGTCTTTGATTCCACATGAGATGCAGTGGTTGGACAGGCTTTGGCTATACAGTTTGCCCTGCTATAAAGCTCTGAACTTGCACTAAAGCAACTCATAGTATTTTAACCCATGCAGCGGTTAAGATTAAAATATACTGTCATATAAATTAGGGCACACTGTCACTGTCATCCCTAGTTTATTTCACACACAAAAACAGTCTTACTTCTGGAAGACAATGATGTCCCCGTCCATGAGCTCATCCAGGGCCTTGTCCAGAGAGACATCATAGTCCTGTATCCGCTCTGTTAGATTGGGCTTTACTTCCTGTAACACACACGGCATCATGGGAAAAGTAGAGTATTAGAGTATTTGGTTAAGGATATGTAAACATGCCAAGCTACAGAAGGGTAAGGGCGAGAAAAAGAGAGATGCTACAAATGACAGTGTGTGAAAGTGTGCAGAGGAGAGTTTGTGAGGCGACACTTGTGTGTCAGATAGAAGAGCATGAGAATGTGAGTGTGTGAAGCAGCGAGTGAAGAGTGAGAACAAGTGAGAAGAAGACAGAGGAATGTGCCAGCAAGTGAGTGCTACATAAATAGATCACCTCATAGAGGATAAGGCTAGTTTCCTGCTGAAACCCTGCTCTCTCACACATGACTGGCAGAAGGTCTCCTGGTTACAGGGAGAAAAGAGCAAAAGAAACACAATTTAAGCTTTACATTCAAAGCATTTTGATTTAAAGTGTGACAGTGTGTTGAGCTTGAAACAGACTTACTTATTTTGCAGGATATAGGTGTGTAGATATGTCCACAATAATTTAAGCTTCTGGTTTTGGGGTCATACATCTTCAAGAACAACATGACATCATCTGAAAAGAAAGAGACAAGTCAAAAAACATACAGTAGCTCCAAAATAGTGACTGATGAAAAGAGCCTGATCCAAACAAAGACACTGTTGCTATAATGGTGGACAGCATGTCAAAGAAATTGCTTAAATGACCACCACTGGTGTTAAAAATTAAACTACTAGGGCCGCCCCGGTAGCTCACTGGTTAGAGCATGTACCATATATCAAGGGTGAGTCCTTAATTAGGCTCATGACAATGTTTCTTTGTTGTTATTTAGTCGCCCTTTTGTGCCAGGGAAACAAATAAATCTACAAAGATAAGCATCTCTGCCTTGTTGCATCTCAGTCTATTTCTCTTTTGATCCAAGATGTGAGATGCAGCGTTGAACATCATCTCACTGTCAGTGTTGCTGCATGGAGTACATTAGTATGTGTGTGCGGAGGTTGGAAATAACCAACACAACGTTTAGCCAGTACAAAACTGATGCGAAACAACAGATAAACATCGGTATCCATACTAAACAACAGATAAACATCGGTATCCATACTAAACAACAGATAAACATCGGTATCCATACTAAACACACAAAAAGCCGTTCTTAAATTTGGGGGCTACTTCAGCCACACAAAACCTTTTATTATGTTCCTGAGTGTTTCTTACAGTGTTAACAGTAACAGTCAAGTGATCATAACCTGTGAAGCAGCATTTCTAGTAATTCAGGTTGCTGCGTGTGTGCCGTTAACACAAAAGAATGCAAAGCCAGTTTGAAACAAATAAAACCTTGACAATTAAAGGGAGGGATGATGTAGAGGTCATGGTACACTGACATTACTTTAGTACCTATATGAAATCACTGGGATCAATGAGAAACCATTAATAAAAAAGTACCACAATGCATAAACACTGATGAAACTGACACTTAGCTGGATGAGGGCTGAAGGGTGGAACTTACGGTCTTTGTCAAACTTGGGTAACGTGGCCCCACTGGCCGCCATCTCTGGATCCACGGTCTCCAGAAATATTGTCCAGGGGTTCTCGTTGTCGCTCAAGTCGATCATCTGAAACACAAACATACACAACCGCTTTATATACGAGAGTCTAACATAGGACAGATTAGCGTACGCATTCAACAACACACACATATATTAAGGGGTACTTGTTTTGAAACACTGCTGCACAGTTGCAACATTATAATGTTTTAATGCAGGTGACTTAATTCATTGTTTTCAGCGACTCAATATTCTTGTGCTCTAAAAATCAAAATTCTACAAAGGACACCTGATGATGCAGTGGTAGCGTCTCGGCTACCACTACCAAAAATACCTTCACAAAACAGGTTTTTTAAACACTTACCGACTTGCTGCAGTCAGCCTCGTAGTCGAGCATGGCGGGTCGCTTGGTTCCATTGCTCCGGGCCTGCATGGGCCACAGCCTCATCTGGTCCTGTGGGAAACCCTGCAGCAAATAAACAGGAGAGTTTAATTTTAGTTGTACTTATGTTTAGATGAATGGAGATGTCAAAAAAGGACTTAATATGACAAAAAGGTGGAAAGTAGCTACTGGATGGGAGAAAAATTAAATCAAGCTGAAATTGAGAGAAGGGTATGAAAGGAGTTTACAGTAGATCAATAAACCATCATGGTATACTTTTATTTGATCTCGAGTGTCTCACCATGGTCTGGGAGAGGTTCTGGACAAACTCTTGCAGTGTAGAGCTCTTCAGGACCTTGAAGACTGTGTACTTCACCTTCTCCTCATCATACATGTCGTTGCCCTGATGACCACAGAACTGGTCCTCTGTCACCATCTGGCCAGAGGAGGAAGAGGACAGGAACAACATTAGTAACTGACAAAAACAAAACTAGACCAAGAACCAAGATACAGAGAGAGAAACGAAAGCTGTAGGAGGACATTTGCACACTTTTTGCCCAAGGTGTCTGTTGGCTGCACCTCTTCATCTAACCACAACACTGTAGCTGCATTTGTTTTGTCTTTGGGCAAAACACACACATCTTTCTAATTGACATTTATTTGTTTCTCTTATCACCTCTCCAGAGCAAAGTAATAAGGAGAAATCAGCCTTTTGACCTGACTTTATACTTGACCAAATAACAAAAGGCAGAGCAGCTGACATCTTTGAACAGGAGAAACCTCTCATCTTTGAACTAGCTGTTTCCTCATTATCACACTCTACTCTTGACCACAGTGAGACTGCCACAGCTCAGCAGGAGTACATACATTCTTGCCTGCTGCTGACAGAGAAAACTTGTAGAACCCTCTCTGTATGTGCCAATATAAAAGTACGTCACAATAACAACCACAGATCAACGTATTGCCTTAAAGGCATACTAGGTAGGATTTTCCTAAAAAAACTATGAAAACTCAATCATCCCTTGTTATGACCCACAAGTGTTTCTCATGCCTACACTTAAAGGGTAACTTTGGTGTTTTTCAACCGGGACCCCTTATTTGTGTGTCAAAATGACTGATGGGAACAACAAGTCTTTAATTTAGTTCAGCATTAAGGGAGAGCGCTGAAGCGAGCAGCTGTGATAAGGGTTACAATGTAATCCATGCGGCAATTGAGTCAAAATACATCCATTCAAAGTGCTTGTTTTTGCGTTCGACTGGCTCCGATTGTTATTATAAGTGTGACATCATTATGAAAGGGAGCCTATAGAAAAATGAATAATTTTCTCAACCTTTCGCTTGATCAGGTCTATAAAATCTCCTCTGTAGGAGCAGCACCCACAGGAACACAACCAGTCTTCCGAGCTTTGCAGCCTTGCAGCAGCTGGTTCACCCTCCTTGTCCACTCTTCAGTTTGTAAGAGCTCTTCATCTTCACATCATTTAGGGCTGGCCCCTAATAGTTAACTTAATTGTTGGTCGCAACACGGACCTTTTCTCTTGTAACACGGAGTCGCTTATCGGTGCGCTGTTCATTGACAGTAGGCGCTGTTGCATATGCCAACTGTACTAGCTGCTGCCGGTCCTATTAGCTGACAGTATTGGGACTGGAAGCTCGTAGGACAGGGGGAATTACTATCATAGGAGCCGCGGGACCCAGCGGGGATTCTGTTAACAAGTGGTGCCAGAATGAGCGACAGAAGAGTAGCAGAGCAACAGAGACCAGCTGATTTACAGCGGCACCAACCAGGAATATTATGACTCTGGGGGGGTGAAACACAGCGGGTTCAGGCAGCAACAGGAGAGGCATCAAACAGAGGAACAGGAGCAAGTTCATTTGTAAGTAACTGAAAACATTATACATCATCCATCGTAACGATAAGTCAGCAAGTATTTGTTTTTGTGAAGTTGGAAGTTATTTATTCTCCGTGTTGAACAACGAGATTTGTGTGATGTTACACTGTGTTGAAATAACTAAACTAAACGACTACAACTAGGAAAATCTTTAGTTGTGGGCAGCCCCAATATCGTCCGTATACTCAGCTCAAATAAATACAGGTGGCCATCGAATTCAAAAAACTCCTCCAAATCAGCAAAATATTCAGCAGTGTCACTGAAAATCTTTTATATGAACACTAAGCTACACTTTCTGTACTCCAACACAACAAACGCTTCCAGCCAGCATTTCTACGCTCACCTTTCCCATGATTACACACACACACACACAGTGGATCAGGTGAAAGCCGGTCAGTGGCAAAAAATGCTCATATGGATTATGTTGTAGCCCCCCACATACTGGACCAAATCAAAACTTGTTGACCCCTTTAATTCCTCTGACACAAACACATGGGAAAATAAGGTTCCAGGTTGAAAAAATACCAAGTTACCCCACCAACATTTCCAACTAAGCAGCTTGCACCAGCAGGTTTATGAAATTAAACAGCCACCAAAGTACTTTGTCTCTGCAAAGCATCACGGACTTAAGAGCTATTAAACAGCAGTCCCAGTTTCCTACCTGGACCTGCATGTAGAGGTGAGCCTCTTGGCGCTCCTTCCTTTTCTGTGCCTCCACCCTTTTCTCCTCCTGCAGACGCTCCACCAGCTGCTGGGGGATGTCCACGTCAGTCATTGGCTGGAGCACCTCGCCTGGGATACAGAAAGATGCAAGTGACAATTATAGAGCAGACAGAGCGCAATACAGTAACATTTGTGATTACTATAGTCACTAAGACAGTGAATGAAGGCAGCCATTGTGAGAAATTCAGTCACCAAATGACAAAGTGGGAACAGGAATTAAAACTTCCCACACCACTCATACATTCCTTATATTTATACAGTGTTGTACTTAAATGCAGATTAACTGGAGCAATTGAGGGGATCTTTTATGTGTTTATGGGACAGTCTCTAGCACCAGCCTTTGTTTAGTTTGGTCCAAAAAGACAGAAGGAGATGGAGTATGTTACTTACTGAGCTTGGACTCACGGATATAGACCAACATGTATGCGTTAGTGCAGTGGCGCACTGAGAGGTCATCGTCATGTCCACCATAGTTGTGCTCTATGGCCTCCTCCTTGGTGCACCGCGACACCACGTCATCATCAAACTTACACCACTGGAGAGAGCGAAAGAATGAGGCGGAGACGGGATAAAAAGAGAAAACCAGAGAGCACTTAAGACGACCGTTTACATCAAGTCATCTTGACATGCCTTCAATCAACCCCAATGCCAACATGCAAATTAATAATGCTAAAAGTTTCCCTCATCATGTTATCACAAAATACAACACATTGCACTTAGGTGTGTGTGTTTGTGTGTGTGCTGGGTGTGTGTGTGTGTTGTGTGTGCAGATCAGGACTTTCAGGCGGGTTGGCTGGGAGTGGTCTAATGGGTGATGGGGTGGCTTGGTGCTGTGAGGAGAGGAAATTTTGATCTGCAACTGCATCGCTAAATGCCCACAAAATCCTACACACTGGACCTTTAACACTGGGAGTGGAAAAAACAGACAATACAAGGACTGAATACAAGAACGATACCACATGCATTGTCAGCGGCAAAAGCTGGACTCTGTCAGTTCATATTGTGTAGCTAGTTCAACACTGGTTTTGAACAGTCAGTTCGTTTAACATTAAAGCAGCAACATGTAACATAAAAACAATACAGTCTGTACAACACACACTCTTGTTTGCAGTTGAGACTCATAACAACAACAATTCCTTGTAGTATGTTTAAGTGGTCGAGATACCCTTCTGTAAAGTAGCTTATCTGACCATTAATTGTGAACTCTGAATCACCTTGTTTTTAACATCAGCAAATATTTCGTATCTTGGCCGTTTCTTGTTATTTCTCTGAAACCAGTCTTTTAAACAATGTTCTATGGACAAGTTAGTATAATATATACATATAGCTCAGGGTTTCTGTCAGTGTATCGCAAGCACGGCAGCCTGCCAGGCCTAAAGGCTCTGACGCTGACACTGATTTTAGAGGATTTTTTGTGTTTGTCAGTTCTATAGTTGACCAGTGTATAATTCCACAATATCAAATGAAGTGTACTCATGATGACAAAGTAGATCTCATATTTAAAGTTGAGCACCCGTGTGTTAGTTTATCGCAAGTTCTGACAAAATCTTCTACAAAATTATAGCTATTAGTGTAAAGCCCCAACCAAGCCCACAGAATTTTTGGGTGAAAGGTGCATAAAAAAAATTGTTCTCACTATTGGTTCCTTGACACTCACTTTGCCGTCCCCTTTTGGGTTAAGATAGACGACGTAGTGACCGCCATGGTTGTCCCCGCTGTGCACTAGCACTGCATGCAGGATGTAGTTGGCTGGGTCCTTGGAGTCTGGCTTCTGAAGGAACTCATCAAGGGGCAACTGATCAGGAAACTCAAACCTATTGAGGAAAGAGGAGGAAGAGAAGGAAGGAGAAGCAATGAGGATAGACAAACAACAAAAACAACAAACAAAAGATAGAGAGGGAGGGAGGGAGAGATTAGAGAAGATGGGCGATGGCAGGCAGGAGAAAATGGCACGAGGAAACAAGAAGAGAATGCGAGGGCAGAAATAAACATATGAAGAATAGATGGGACGTGTAGAATAAAAATAGTATTGAAAGAGAAGGGTTAAATATCAAGACAAGGAGAAGAGAGAAAGGAAGAGTTTAATGTGTGTCTACATATACAAAGCCCTCTGGGGGCCAGGTACTGATGGCAGCGTCACAAGGATGACTCAGAGCCCGTTGAGGCGCTACAGGGGAAAATCAACTATTCTGGATGGCTGCACGTGTGTGCGTGTGTTCTGAAAGTGATATTATCCCGGTGGATTGTTAAAACACAATTAGCTCCCACAGAGCTTTACGTAGAATTATATGGCCCATAGAAAGAAAAAAAAAAAACACTCTCAATGATGACTCACTTTCTCACTGTCTTAGTGCAGGAGGTCAGGGCATGCTGTTCAGACAGTGCAGGCTCATGAGCCATTTCTGGAAATAGACTGCTTCTTTAACTTATGTTAACATGGACCAAGAGTGTCTCTAAAATGATGTCTTTGCACCAGCCACTAACGCATTGGGTAAGCATAATTAAAAAAATGTACATGCAAGTGTGTGAAAGAGAGAGAGTGGTGTGTTTGTTGTACCTGTCGTTAATCTTGATGTTTTGGTCAGTCTGTGGGTCATACATGAACCTCATCAGCTGCAGATGAAGGATTGGAGGGAAGGTAAGGAACTTCACTCCCTTTTCTGCTTCCTGCAGGACAAACAAACATGTAAGACATCTGGTCAGGACATCCCACAGACATTAATTACACAACCCTTAATGTTTGCGCCACTAAGTCAGTTGTTCCCAATCTGGGGGTCCCCAAAGCTTCACGGGGGGTTTCAAAGGCATTCTTGATTATAAGGGGTGTAAGAAAACTTAAATATATACACAGTAGGCCTATATCTTAGCATTTCTGTTAACAAAACTAAATAAAGTTTGTTTGCTTAGATAGAATGTATTGTTGTTAAAAAATAAGAAGTACACAATAGATAAACAGAATTGTATAAAAAGTTCCTAAAACCATCAGAAAACAATCAGCTTGTTTAACACAAACTTCCCACAGTTATTGTGTTAGCTATTTGGGTTCATTCTACAGTTCATCAATTGTTCAGTATTGTTAATAACCATAATTATGTGTAACTTAGTCAGGGGTCGTCAGTTTACTTAATGATAGAAAAGGGGTCCCTTAGGGGAAAAAGGTTGGAAAACGGCGTTAGGTAATTTCCTTCAACCAGACTTTTAACCCAAACACATTTTTCAAATCTTATGAAGGCACTTTAGCGTTATTATTGTGCCTGCTTGTCTTCCATGCCAATACCAAGGTAGCACTCAAGATTTGATTTTAGACCACATAATCATGTATTTCAGTGTTTTTTCAGATGTTACAGAAACAAATTGAAATGGAAACACTGAAATACAATCAGAACAGCAACCATATCCAGCTTGCCGGCCTGATGCATTTCAGGTGTTTTGCAAAACCAGTATCTTATGTCTTAAATTCACAGCTGACATTTCAAAAACTGTGTACGACCTACATTCTCAAGTGTATTGTCTCACATTCAAATTGAACTTTGTCCAACGTGGCCCTGCTTTATCAGTTAATGACAGACTTGGAACAAAAATGTTGGGTTCAAAATTAGCTTAAATATCAGCTGAGGTGTAGCAAAATAAATAAAACAAAACTAAATGTAAGCAAAGTAAAATAAACTAGAACAAAAGACATAAATTATTTAGATCCAGTCACTGTGAAGCCTCACCTGCAGGCCATGCTCTCCTGCGTCGTATTTGTTGTCTCCATCTAACTGCTCGGTTGCAACATAATCTTTGAAAGACTCGAAGACTGGAAATGAGCAGAAAGCACAGATTGCATCAAGATAACATCGGTAACAAACTTCTAAATCAGCTAAAAAAAAAAAAAAATAATCAGTTCTCTGTTTGAGAAAATAAACATGAAGTTGTGTTGATGTTGCTACTCACTGTTCTTTTTTCCTTTTATGCTAAGCTGGATGTCATAATAGTCCTCTATCCGCTCTGACCGGTAGTCCACATGCTTACACTGGATGTATGACTGGAGTGTAACACACACACACACACACACACACACACACACACAGGGGTCAGACTGTATGACATAATTGGCAAGTTAAAAATATTATTTCTAAGAGGGCCACTTCTTGATTTAACCTCATTCTATTCTTAAACTGACCTTGTTCGAGGCTACATCCTGTGCTAAGTTAGACTACTTCACATCACCACTATCTTAACAAAATCTGCAGCAGTATTTACATAATGCATAATTTGGCATTACTATGCTAAATAACACTGAAAACATTGACCATCAACAAATAAACATCAATTGTGATTTGTCTTTTTGAACTGTAACTCAGGCTAGACTGATGAATTCTTTAACAAATACACAAAATGTGACCGTAGCTATAAAGAGTCAGATGAGGAGAGGTACAGAGAAAGAAAACATACCACCATCTTTCCTCTGAAGAGCTTGGGAATGGTTCCCTCAACACAAGTGCCTTTCATTTTGTTCTCCACATTGTCCAGGAGCTAGAACACACACACAGTCAGTAATTATTCAGCATGCATACATTTACACACCCACATTGTTTAAGAGAATATAAGAGAACTCACCACTCTGCACAGCTCCTGTACATCGTGCTGCATGAAGCTATCTAGTGTTTCCCATCTTCACACAGAGGAAAAAAAGCACAGCAAGATAGTTAGATACAGTACTTACAGATTCTACTAAAAATAACATTTAAGACAATTTTAAAATGTTTAAAAAAATAATCTGGCCCCAGCAGTGTCATATCCTGTATTTTATAGTTACTTCAAACTGTTGATCTTATTCAAACTAAGAAATCCCAAAAAACTAAATACAGAGAAAAAGCTACAAGCAAACCACTGAGCCAAAAACACTAAATACTGGTTTTACTTATCATTCTGGCCTACATCTGACTAACCTTAAGTCAAAGGATAGGTGAGAGCTATCAATAACACAGAAGTCTACCCTACCCAAAGGACTTGGTGAGTTTCTTGGTGCCGACGGGTTTATCGCTGTGTTGCAGCTCGTAGAAAACCCTCTGCAGTGCCAGGGGAACGCTCTTGGAAGAGTCATCTCCCTCTGTGGGCATCATGTACACAGCCTGGGAAGAGCGTCAGGAGGATTCACACAAGCGTTAGGAATTTTAGAAAGTAGCCCTTGTAGACTAAAGTTACACATTTTCACTGTTTTGTGAAGACATTTTCTATATTTATTCATAGAAATGAATATGAAACAGCATCAAGACCATGGTAAATGAGAGGGCCTCAGTGAAACAAAATGACAGTGGTAACAGTGCTGCAAGAAGAATCAGCAGATGTTACAGAAGAACATTAATAAACAAAATAGGTACTCATACTGATAGGGGGAGGAGAGTCACAGAGAGTCGATACCACAGATGCAGGTTGCGACTTTCAAAATACATTTTAAAATTTAGTGTACATTTGAAGGCTTTTAACACTTGTGACACATCAACATGTGGACAAAAGATACTAATACTGAACTGGAGCTCTAAGTCACACATTTACAAATGCAGTTAGGGATGTCACAAGAACCGATACTTCAGTACCAGGTTGCTACCAAAATTCTGAAAATAAGAATCGTTTTTTCCGCAGTACCATAGGGGCTGAGGATGCGATTCTTGCGGACCCGGTGGGGCAGCGTAACGCGGCTACAAATACTGAAGTCGGCTGTTAACTCCCACAGGAAGAAGAGGATTTAGAAGTTGGCGACAAATGCAGCTGTAAAGGTGAATTACTAGTGAAACTTTGTGCACAGTGCTCATCAACTCTCTCCTCTGTGTGTGTGTGTGTAGACGCGCAAGAGCTCTGAGACTGAGTTCCTGGTCAGAGAGCGTTGGAGAGCCGCATACGCCCCATACCACTGCAAGTGCATCAAAAAGCAAATAAGAGTAGTTAATGTCATCTGCGCAAAAGACGTACAGATGGGGGTACAGCAGGGTACAGTTCATCCAGGTTACTCAGGAAAAGGCTGCACTAAAGCAACAAACACTGCAGGTCACCAGACAGTGACAAGATCAACAACAGATTACAGAGCTTTGAGTTTTATATTTGGTTTGCATTTATAGCTTGGTTGCAGGCATTTTTATTCTTAAGGCATTGGAGAGCTATTTGCCTGTATTATTAAGGAAAACATAAGTATTGGATCAGGACTTGGTATCAGTAGATATTAAATTGGTATCAGGGGACATTGAATGGTCGAATCGAATTGTTATCAAGAATTGCAGAATTTCACTGTTATTGGCATCAACTACTAAATTTCTGGTATTGTGACAGGCAATAGACGTCTTTAGTGGCTCTGCTTAAGCCAATGCACTAAACTAACACGCAAAGATAAAACCATACCCGACGTAGCTGGTTGGTGAAGAAGAGAGTCTGTAGCAGGCTATTCATGTAGCAGGTAGCTCCTTGATTCTTCAGTCCAACATAGCCTGTGTGTTTCTTAGAGTCCCAGCTGTTTACAGAGAGAAAGCTGGTTATAATTTATGAAACCTAATCGGAGAAATGAAACCTGGAAACATTGAAGAAAACACAACGTGGAGAGAAAAAAACCCTGAGAAAAGAAATACTTACGCCACTCCATGTGGGGCATCTGCCTGGACATAGACTTCAAAGGTGACTTTGTCATCATCGACGAAGCCCCTCTCTGGATCAGTCACATCCTGAAACACAACCAAACCACCAAAACAGTTAATATCAATACGAATGGGTAGAAGTAAAAGCCTTTATTTACAATGAGCAAATGGCATTATGCAGCACAAAAATTAAACGGCTCTGTCAGCACAGCCTCTTTTATCCACCCAATCAACAAACAAATGTGTCTCCTATGCGTGTCTACAACTACAAGCCTCTTCAGCAAAAAGCCAGTGTTTCTTTGGTGTCCCATCTGAAAAACTTATCTGGCTATCAATATTAATAATTAAAAGTCATCGGTTTTTGTACTTACACTCCAGGACATGAAATTGGAAAAGCCCCAATCATTCTCTTTGTGGAAGAACAGGTGACTGATTCTGCGGCTGAAGGACTTCTCGTCGTCTTTGTAGTTAATGATCTTCAGCATGGCCTGTGCGTGGCATGACCATGACCTGAAACACCACAGAGAACAGGATTCAGAAATCTGTAAAGGATGTCTTAACACTGTGAGACAGGATGTTTTTTTATAACCATTCTCTCATGAACAACCATACGTCTTTGAATAAATTCTGGTATACGTATCACATGGTGTGTATTTTGATAAAGATCTGGCTCTAATAGCAGATTTAACATATTATATTATTGAGGAACTGTGCATGCATAGTGGGCAAATCAGCAGAGTGCCATCTAGTTTAGATTCTGTTGAGGTTAATGACTCCATCCTGTGTTTCCTGTGTGATAATTAATGACAGGCTAGCTCAAGAAAATTCACAGCCAGTAAGTTCTGCACACACTTCCACAATGTATTAAGCAGTTGTTTCCTTTTTTTAAGCGATGAAGATTTATTTTTGTTAAACAAAAGACCATGTCAGTGAACTGTGACTTTGTGTTGCAACAACCTGTGAGCCAATATGCACGTTAACCAATTCTATCAATAAAAAGCATTAATGAGTGGGGGGATTACAGGGTGACAGGGCCTGAACAGCCCATTTCACTTCCTTTCATGTTTCTTGGTGGCAACTTTGATGAATACCCTTTGACCAAAACTGAGGTATCCAAAGTACTTGATGCAAATTAAAGACAGTGTTAAAGACACAAAAGTATTCACCCCACTTACTAAAACACACCAAATCATTATCCGTGCAGCCCAGCGCTCTTAAAAATCGCATTATAAATTGAATGGAGATACTCTGCGTGTAATCAACCTATGACAAGATATTTCTCAGATGCAATTACATGTTAACCAAATATTCCTTGCAGTACAGTGATGTAAATCATTTTTTTAAAATGGCTGTAAGCTATAAGGCCTGATTTTGTGTCGTGGGAACATAGTAGTGATGAGGGAATACCTTCCATCTTGAAATTGTTGTTTTTTTCTTCCAGGTGCAGAATCATTGTAAATTAATGTGAGATATGTATATATGTAGGCTTTGTTGTTAAGTTTAGAGATGGACCCTACCCCTGTTTATTTTTTACTTTTGCTTACTTTCTTTTCCCTTTTTCCCCCCACAAGTGCTGTGCTTTGTGTCCAAAAAGTAAATAAACAAACAATGGCTGTGAACCTCCAGAAAGGAGACGGCCCTGCCTATCAAATGTCTTATGGCAGTTTTGAAGGAGCTGCAGGGTCCCGTGGTTAAGAGGAAGACATTGTTGAAAAGAAAAACTAATATGACACCTGGGCTAGTCTTTGCCAGGAGGCACGTGGGAGCTTTTTGCCCATCGAACTACATGCAACGTTTCACATAATCCACGGGCTGCACAGAAACACACCATGTGACATATAAAGCATGGTGGTGGGATGCTTAAGGCCCTGGTAGGCTTTTGTATCTCGAAAATGAATGAAAATGTGATCTGTACTCTACATTAATTTGCAGAGATTGTTTCACATCGACATGAAAGAGTCTTTCAGTGTAAAAACAGAGTTATGTTAACTGTGACTAAGTTATAAAACAGAGAAAAGTGGGGAGGCAGTAATTTATATAAGCACCATTATGTCAAGATTTTACTGTAGTATATGTCCTAAAATTAGTATAGTCTAACTTAACAGAAAGTGTCATTTCCAGCAGCAGAAGCTGTAAGCAGGTATAAAACATACATATTCAGTTTTAGTAATAAATCCGCACTAATGAGATATGTCTATGACTTGAACAGCAGTTTTGTGAAAGGTGACCTCTTTAAATGTATTATCATTGAATGCTATTTAATGTTAGAAAACACTTTTTGTGTATGTTTGCCAGGACCATCAAAGGTTTCAGGTGTATGCCTGTGTGTCTCTGCAAAGTCCCCCAAAATCCCCCGTCCCACCAAAGACACCTACGTGGAGTCTGACTCTGCGTTACACTGCAGGAAGAAGCCCACGCTCTTCTGGTGTGGCCGGTCAGGATAGAAGCGCGGCATCACCATTATCTTCCATGGAAGGTTTCGGACAAAGCAGGACGGGCTGAGCACTGACTCGCTCAGGCGGCTGAAGCGTTCTACTACAAAGCGGAAAGTCGCCTCTGACCGCCAACTGGTGTCTGCGGAAAGATGGAGGAGACAAGAAAAAAGGTGACAGGTTAGATTCTGGACAGAGAACAGGTTTCCTCTACTGTTCACTGACAAGACCCGATGTAAGTGGTCTGTGGATATAACTTTATTCAAAACCTACATGAGACTAACAACTCTACAGAGTCACTCATACGATGACACTAAACCAGCATTATGACGAATTCTTTCACAGCACAATCACCAAAACAAGCAAAAGTGTTAAGTGTTTGTAAGCGTGTTTGTTTGTGCACGTCGTCCTTACCGTCCTCCATGTCCTCCTCTGTGTTGTTGTGTCCATCTGCCATGGCCACGTTACCATTGATCACTGGGTTGGCCGGGATTCTCGGAGGGTCGTCTGTGTCTCCAGCTGTACAAAGAGAGAAAAAATATGAAATGACTGTATGGATAGCATGGTAGAGACCTTTTGTCAACTGGAAGAAAGCTGGCTGGAGCCTCTGTGTTGCTAACTATGTGACTTCAGCAGGTCAGAAATTAGACGACCGTGATCAATAAACGAAACATCACAGACAAGGCTTCCTCTCACATTAGAAGTAGTTTTCATTAACGTTCACCAGGCATGATCGAGCAACAGCAATAACCATTTAAAACTAAAAGTGCGTACAATAGACTTTTACTACTGCTGAATCATTTTATTTCTAAAAAATGTGAATATAAACATCAGTGCAACTCAAACCTTTTATATTCTTACAATACTTTTTCTAATGTAGCATCATCCTTAGGTAATGGAACATTTGAGGGGAGATTAATCACATTCTTATTAGTCTTATTTTTCCTAGTTGCTTTGAAAAGCTGTCTGATTGGGCAGTTTAACTTTTAAAAACAAAAAAGTAATTCTGCAACTCCTGTCTCTCTTCTTTATTTCCTGTATCTCCAGACAGTGCTCCTGCCTTTCCCCTTTCATACATTTCACTGGGAAAACCCTGCTGAGACAGCATGACAAGTCTTCTTTTCTGGCCTGTGTGTCGGAGCGAGGGCAAGCGAGAGAGAGAGAGAGAGAGAGAGAGAATGTGTGTGTGCAACAAAGACCATGCAACATTACAGTAGGCTGGGTAATTATAAACACAATGCAGGATTAAGCTGCAAGTCATCGCTCAAACAAAAACACACGCGCAGAGGACAACAATTATCCCCGGCGAATAATGAGACGGCTCGATGCAGTCTCATCTATCAAAACATGCTGATGACAGAAAGAGAGGAGCTTTGAGTAGACTTCAAGGAGAGAGTGAAATCTGCCTGTATCCTGCGATAACAATGGCGCTGCAGAAGCCGGTGTTCAGAGTAACGACAGCATTGATATAAACGTAAATGTGTTGATGTGTGGGTCTGTCTCTTACACCGTGTTTCATGTCTATCTGTGTTTCCTGTCTTCCTCCGAGGCAACAGGCGCAGCGGTGTCAGCTAGGTGTGTGTGTGTGTGTGTGTGTGTGTGTGTCTCCAGGTAACGTTACTGACCAAGTCCTCCAGAAGGACTGACCTCGATTCCTCAAGTGGATTACACCCTGCTAATGGGGTCTGTCAGTCAACTGCGTGACAACTTCTTGTCCCGCCCACTGTGTCGGTATATCCTGAAACCTTTGAGTGGTACATGCTAATGGATCAGTCTCTGAAATCTGCACGAGCTGGATGTACAATTCCATATTGGACAAAACGTCACCGCGGCTTACTGTAGAGCTTACTGTCACTTAAACTAGGCAGACGCATGGACGGGGGAAATCACAAGCATCTCAACAGACTGATTTATTATTCATAAATATATATTTTTCCATTATGGCGGTTATTGATTTGAATACCTGCTGTGGCTGCGCTACAACAGTAACTGCTGAAAATCAAAAACGCATATTCCCATTCAATTCAGAAGTGCACACTAAAGTATTGTAATCTCCCCTAACGCTCCAGTCTCTGAAATTAAAATAATACGTTATTTTAATTGTTCAAAAACAGATTTACTAGCATGCTAATCTACACCTACTACACCTATGGGATTTATAACAAAACGTGTATTTGGAGAAATGGTGTAATATTTATGTTCTGATCATTCCCGTAATTTTGGGAGAGCCATGACGGGCATAAACACTCGCCAAATTGTGTGGCACCTACAGCCTGGATTCCTGGTAATGCTGCTGTAGCAAAACAGATAAGAATGACTCAGATATGCTGAGCACATGATGGATTAATGCCACTGCAACTGTATGCAGCATACCATAAAGAAAATGTGGTATGTGCTGCTATAAGGATCCTGGAAAAAGTGAGGAGGAGTTCATTATGTCAACTTGTTTTCACTATCCTTGTAAGGCTGCAGTGCACTGGGAGAGAACCCAGCAAGGGTGAACCAGCAAGAAAGGGGTGAGGATGTCTAGTGAGTGCACCTGCTGCCAGTAAGACCAGTGTTAAAGATGATGACTGAAACAAAGCAAATGCCAGCTGGGGCTGATTCTACTTGCTTATGTCTGCAATTAAATAAGATGTGCTTTATGTTGCATGCTGCCGAATAACAAGCAACAATGTGCGTCTGTGATCAGATAATAAAATCACTGGGACTGAATGACGCAGTGATGCTGAGGGCTCCCACAAGCCTCTGCTCCGTCCAAAGTTGACGTTGGTAAAACTTAATAAAAACGACGGCACGGCGGGAGTTCGCGTGTTTAACGCTTGATAAGCGCTAAGAGAGGTGGTCCTGACTGCAAACCTGGCTAACAAAAACACAGATCATTAAAAATGGCGAGCTCCATGCCGTTTGCTCTTCCATACAATGAAGCAGCAAATCCCCGCGCTGCCCCGGTGCGGGCCTGGACTACCGCAGCGGCGACCACCGTTACTTCCAGCTCTGCCACACGTTTCACACAACACACTATCAAACGTCGGCATATCGTCCAACAAACGACTAAACCAACGCGTAATTTACACCCAGCGCTTCAGATTGTCATATGTTCTTCTGGGATGGCTAAACTGGCTGCACCACAGTCAATTTAGCAAATCACGATTGACGCATCTGCGTTAGCTCCGTGGCTATCCAGCGGACACTAACGTTAGCCACAGATTCGTCTGCTGCAGGCCGTTATTAGCTCACATTAGCTGCAATCACTAGTACCAGCCAGGATTCATACTGGAGGAAAAATATCACCCAAAGTAGATACGGCAGCTATTAGAAGGAAGTGTGGGGGGGGGAAAAATAAAGATTACGTGAGGCAGATAATCAAGGCCTAACATTCGTGCAATACCCAAATTGAACGTTGCAAAATACAAGCCACCATTTTGGGACGCCACACACCCCCTCCGTGAGCATTAGCCGAGCAGCTAACTAGCATGCTAGCCAGTGAATAAACGTAAAGAAGTGGGCCTTCGAGGCTAATTGGTTAGCATACAATTAGCTGCGCCGCTAGCGATGTACGTTACGGTTTTATTTTCCATCTTAATGGACACAGACGGCGATTAAAACGGGTAACTGGCGTCGGCCGCACTGGACGTATTTACAACCAACGTTAACCAGTCAGATGTATCCGGGGGCCAAACTGTAGTTTACTCTGTAGTTATTGATCGATATCGTTACTTTGCAGGCCCACATTTAACGTAGGAGCCGTCAGACACGATGCTAACACACAAACACACACACACACACACCGTCTTTTAGAGAGGCGAGTGTAACGTTACATGTCGAGCCGTTAATAAATGGCTGTCGGTAAGAATAGAAAAGCTACGGTCACTATACTCACGGAGGAACTAACTCTGGTGAAGGACGCAGGTGCCGATAACTGTCAAAATCATCCCAAAGCCCACAGTGAAGTCAACGCAGCGAGATTAATTTACCTAGCGATGGGTCCATGTTATTTACGAGCACCAACAGTCAGACTGTTTACAAACATTTCAACGATCAACAATAATCGGGGCCTGGAATCCCGCGACTGCGTGTGGATTCAAGAACGGCGATGATTTGACAAAGTGCATCTGGAAACTTGTTACAGCCGAGGGACGAGCACAACCGGGGCCGTTTATGTAGAAAACACGGTGGCCAGTCGGAATGAATGATTTGTGTGGCTAATCTCTTAACGGTGTGGACGGACTGATCATTTTGGTGTTATTTTTTTTGCAAGCCGGGGAATATTGCAGGCACACGGAGACAAACACAAGGTCCGTTCGCTTATAACGCAAAATGAGGTCAGCTCCACACAAGTATGCTGCAACGGACGCACAATCAGCAAAAAAAAAAAAAAAAAATGCAACCCGGCTATCGTAGCTAGCTTCGGGGCCTTCGTGTTTACTGTAAAGTTGAGCTCGGCTTGCACGAATAAAACTTTATGCAGTTCTCGCGCAAGTGTTAATTTCTGAATAAAATAACTAAAGTCCTGTATCGTGTCCGCTGACCCTTCTTGGGACCATTACTTACCTTCCATCTCCATGTCCTCTGGTTCGCTGAGCTGCTGCTCGCCGGCTTTCTGTTGCTGCTGCTGCTGCTGCTGCGTGTGGTGATGGTGGTGGTTCATGTTGGCAGCTGTTGTTGTTGTGGTGGTGATGCGGGGCTCCCTGCTATCTCGGTTACCCTCGACCTTGTCCAGGGTCGGCTCGGCGGGGAACCGGGTTCTGGACTGCTGGTGAGGTGTGGTAGGATGCGGAGGTGGAGTGGACAGGTCGAGCCTCGGCGGCCGGGCCTGCTCTGTTGCGACCTCGGCCTTGTCCGCTGTCAGCGCCGGGGAGTGAGGAGGGGAGGTCGGCGGGGGAGCGGGTAGAGAAACGCGGACGTATTTGCTCGCTATTCGCCCAATCTCGGCGTTTTGGTGGGTGCGAGGGTCGCCTGGCCTTTTTACGGGGCGGGGGGGTGCCGGGCGGGGGGGGGGAAGGGGGGATGGGATGCGACCGGGGCCTTCCAAAGGTGGGGTTGGGGGAGGCCCGCTGGAAATGAGCTAAATCAATCCGGTTTACCCCGGGGAAATGTGGCGTAATAAGACAACGGCACAGCACAACCTGCACGGTGGAGGAACACAATACCTGTTTATAAGCGGGGCGTTAAGCTACCTGACACTAGGCAGCCAACTGCTAATATAGGTACAACAACAAGAAAACAAAGGTTCATTTGACTGTAGCACACATTCAACAACTTTGCCTGCGATATCCCCAGTCCGTGTGCTCCTCCGATTGCTCCCTCGTCTGGTGGAGACGGGAGGAAAAAGGCTATCCATTCAAAGCAGTTTCCAAACGAATAGCACTTAATGTTGATTTGGAAGTTCGGAGACGAGGAGTTGCCACGGCCCGACATAAACCAATTCCCCCAAAGCCGCCCTAACACGATAAACGACGAACCGCGGCACCTTCGTTGCATGTCTAGCATAACCCTTTTTCTTGTGAGGAATGTGCCGGTCATACAACGTTAGCTGTGAGCTGTGTGGCTCTCAACCCGACTCTCCTGTTTGTGTGGTGTTGGAGCTGAGGTAAAAACTGCAAAATGGCGTCGCGCTCTTCTCTGAAATGTTCACACCGCATGGAGATCCAAACACTTGGCCCATCCCCAGCAGCCAGGTCACATGCATGGTTAAAACCTTAGGGATCAGGCGTGTGCGACTGTGGGGGGGATATATTAAATATAAGTCTGATAACAATTATAGGGATTCATGGAAATTACAAGAATGGGGCAATGCAGCGCTTGGTGACTGCTCGTTGCACTTGGGCCCCCAGTCATCTGATTGATGGATCTGGGAGAGAAACATTCTTTGTTTTTGATAATGTGGACATAAACTAAAGTTTGAAATGAGTTAAATACGTTTAATCAGTTAATTCCATTTTTAAACCTTATTGTTTGGTTTTTTTCGCCAGCAAAGTGCAAAAATTGAATAAAATAATAAATAAATTGAATGAAAAATACATGAGCACATATGCATTGTATGGAGTAAAACTAATCATTCACACATTTAAAATGGAAAAAAATTAATTAAAAAACATACATTATCCATTAACAGCGGCTTTTACTTATTATAATGGTTATTCAAGTAAAGCATCTTCGAGTTAGTCCGTAGTGCTCAAAAGTTTACAGGGTTTTTCCTGGTGGTGTCTCTGCAGGGCCTCTTTATGCAGCAAAATTACTTAATTTAAGGTTTGATTAAAGTATTGGTGATTTCCAGAAAAGACGCCAGAGATTATAGGTACAATTCAGATCAACATTAAAAAAAATGAGCCTGCAACCGCAACGAAACGCACCTGTCACTATATTGTGGAGAATGCATAATTTTGAGTATTTCTTATTTTTTTTTTTAACCGCGTGTTACCATATTATATATATTTATTCATTAATAAACAGCCTACACACATAAAAAAGGCAAAAAAATCATAGTAACAAATTGCTGTCAATACAATACTACAATGCAAAAGCTGTTGATCAATTACAACAATACTTTTTACTCAGCACATTTTACTTCATCTGAAGGACAACCTACGTCCAATATGAATCTATCCCTTTATCAAGCAGTGTCCCTATACCATACTTAGCTGCCATATCTGCAGGCTTGAAACCAGACGTCTGTGGCTGCACAGACAGACAAGCCTTCAGATTTTGAGTAAATGGCCTCATCCAGTTGGAGAAAAGACGCACTTATACTTCGGACTTGGCCTTAGACACCCGTCGCAGTTGCCGCTTTTTCTTGGACTGACTCACTCATTTTATGTTCCACTTATGTCATTATTATATTATAATATTATATATATAATATATATATACAATATATTTATATTATACATATATATATATATATATTCATTGTTGTTGTTTTGTTTTTTTCCCCAATTTAACATCAGATATTTCATGGGTGAATTGTCTCATATATGGAGTTTTCACGATTGCCAGATGTTATAGTTTTGCTTAAACTTTATATGATTAGTAAAGTCTTTTTCTAGCATGTAGGTTATGAATCAATTAAAGGGGGCAATAAGTTCACATAAGATACTAATAATATTGATAAACTCTATTTACGAGGCACTTTTAAAAACACACATTACATTATGTTAAACCATGCTATGAATAATATTTTTATTATTATTAATATGATTATTCTAACAGCGATATTTTCGTGACAAAACTTGCTCTCTCTTCCAAGCTTCAGTAAATTTTCACTGAGGTTCTTTTGTGTCAACGCGGTGACGGACGTGTCAGAAAGCCAATGAAAGTCTCAGAAGAGACTAGAAACCCACCCTGCAGTGCCCATGTCGCCAATTGTCGTTCACATCTAGTGTGATGGGCGGGATTAAGCGCATAACACGATAGTCTGCGTTGTATATATCCCGACGTCGGCAACTAGGAAAAATAGTTAGCTAAGCTTATCTCCACAGATGGTGGCAATAGGGAGTAGTGTTATATTGTAGTGCGAAATAGTAAAACGCTAACAGTATTCATGAATTTGCTCACATAATTCTTCGCACACTGTCCAGATAATAACCTCTTAACAAATTAAAAGCGCATTTTCATCGAGTTTCGGTGCATTAAATGGAGGAGAAGAAGGAAGACGGAGACTCGGAGATACAGGAACACGGACCCGAGCACTGGTTCTCAAAATGGGAGCGGCAGTGTTTGGCCGAAGCGGAGCAAAGGGAGCCGAGCGAGGAGGAGGCCGACAACGACCAGGATAAACTGTGGCATCTCTTCCAGAACTCCGCCACTGCTGTGGCACAGTTATACAAAGGTTCAAAACAGCGCTTTCTGTCTGCTTGCTCGTCTAATGATGCCTACATTGCTGGTGTGCGTTCGGCTGGTTGGTTAGCAACCTGGCTACTTACTGCGCGTTACCGTGAACTAACGTTATCGTCGGTGTCGGCGCGATGCTAACTAACGCTAACTAACGCTAACTAACGCTAACTAACGCTAACTAACGCTAGCTGTACTCTGTAACGTTTACAGCTGATTCTGCAATGCTACATTTAGCTAGCTTGTGTTAGCATGTGGCAAAAATTTAGTTATGAACTTGAATCCGATGTCGTGCACTCGTTTATGTTGTTAAACAGCCGTAGCCGGTTTGGCGGACACGTTTTAAAGTGGGTTAAGTTAACAGTCATTTCTTTGTCAGTAAGGCAGCTTGTTGACACCAAGTTAGACCAGCAGCGGATAGCTAACGTAACGTTAGCCAGGCTAGTTACAAAATGGCGATGGTAACAACAATCGTAGCTACGCGACATTCCCAGATGACAGTCTCTTGTATACTGTCTGTCAGTGTAACCATCTGTTATACTGGACGCGATTGGGGTTTGAAGTGTGCTGTAAAGTGAACGACACAGAAGTGTACATTTGGCTTTTAAACGCGCGGTTTGCTGCTGAGTGAGCAGTTTGTTTAGCAACGCGTAGCCAGCCTTACAATCACAAAATGGCGAGGATAGTATTGGTTCGCTGTGGAAATATTGGTTTGTCTACAATCTGCTATGGCTGTGGTGTTTTCAGACATAATAGATTCTTGCCCGAATGGACAGAGCTCCACTTGTTAAGTCCCCCCCCATGTTTGCCATGTATGTTTGACATGGCTGTGCAACTTTACTGCTGAGAGGGCAGTTAAGTTGGTGTGTCGGGGCTTTCTTAACAAGCTGCTGCCAAGCTGGCCATCTAGCGCTAGCTGACAGTTATTTATATGCCAAACCCTGTTCATGCAATTGTAGATGCAAGACAAAATGGCGAGTTAAAAAAAACAAAAAAAAAACATCTTCACTTCACAACCCTTCAACCCTGTAATCACCAAGCTGTCGTGCCTGTCTGACGTTTTGTTGTCACAATTAATCAAGGGTGCTTGCTTTTAAATGCTCTACATGTATAGAAACCAAATGTATTTCCCCTTTTTCCTCCCACAGACAGAGTATGCCATCAGCAGGGCCTGTCATTGTGGGTGCCATTTCAGAACTCTGCTACAGCAGTAACCAACCTCTACAAAGGTATTTAACCCCATCACTGTTCTCTCCATCCTCGTGCTCTTGAACTTGATTTATTGATCTGCCAACTACTTCACCTACAGTTGTTGTTGTTCTTCATTCCATCAATATAGGCTGTTGTTATCAATGATTGCACTCGGAAAAAATATGTTTTTATTGACAGTCCGATCCAACAAGTGGTAAACAGTCCATTATCAGCTCCGTATTGACCTTTCTGTCACAGGGCATGTAGGTTTTTGTATGTCAGTCAAAGACATGCTCATTGTGGGGGTTAAACTTGTTGTCAAGAACACACTAGCAAAAAAGGTGTTTGTTGTTGTAACAATGACCTTGTACTGGACTTGACTCTTAGTTTGTCAGTCTACCCAAAATGGACAGAAGATTCCACCGTAGAGTAGTGCTGTAACGGGGTGAGTAGTTGGCAGCCTCTGGAAGAAATGTGCTGTTGATTTAAAAGCTGCCAGTCGTATGGGTTACTGATAAAGGTACCATTCACATTTGCTTGGCTTTGGGGTGTATAATGAACGGTGATTTATTTGTTATTGTTTCTGTGATTTCTTCCACCATTGCAGAGAGTGTGGAGGCCCATCAGAGAAGCTTCGATCGGGGCATTCAGATAGGCCACCAACGCCGTAATAAGGTGGGTCTTCCTCTGTTGTGAGGCACCTCTGTTCTGTTGTATCTGGACAGATTAATGTTATTACACCCCCCTGTCATTATTCTTGGAAACTAGGTGCTTACAGACTGCATTAGGTTTATACATCAGGGGTGTTTTAAGGGGGAAAAGAATGCATCAGCGTTTGTGAATAAAAATGAACTTGTATTGGATTGCAGGACATGTTGGCCTGGGTGAAAAAGCGCCGGCGAACCATCCGGAGGGAGGATCTTATAAGCTTTCTGTGTGGCAAAGCACCACCACACAGGAGTAGCAGGGCCAATCCTCGGCTGGCCATGGTGGCCCCCAGCCGGGCTAATTCACCAGCTGAGACTGGCTCATCTGTGGAGGCAGACCTTCAGCCCTTCAGGGAGGCCATAGCACTGCATGGTGAGGACACTTATGGTCAAGCCTGGCTCACCGCGTACACACCGGTAGTCATTCGAGCCACCTCATCAGAAACGTGATTTACAACCCCAGAGGCAGCTACATTGTGTCACTGCTTGTCCTTTAAGCCAGTATAGAGGAAGACGTGTTGTCTGTTTTTTGTATGTGGTAAAGTTCACACTTAAGATTCTTCAAAGGGTGGGTTGGACCTACTGATTCACAAATGTAATAGATTAACGGTTTGGCAGTGTGTTATAGTGATTGTGAGATAAGGTATTTCATATAAAGAAAAAAAGGTTAGAAGTCAAGTCATTTTATTTAAATGACACATTTAGAAACAACAGGAGTTCCTATTATTCACCGTGTCACCCAAATTGGAACAACTAATAGTTAGAGTATGTAATCTGAGTAAGAGAGCGGGGTTGTCCTTCAGTCGTCGTACGTAGTCGCCATGTGACTCGGAGATAAGGTTATGTTGTTCACGGGTGTGTTAGTATTGGCCAATAGTAAATAAGGGCCTGACTTTGTTAGCCCCTCGTGTGTGTGTGAGAGAGAGTGGGAACATCTCGCTAAACCAAAAGATATATGCAGATGTAAATGTTTATGTATTTGTTGGTATTTCTGTTGTGCTGTCAGCACAATTGAATATTCAGAACTTTATCTGAAGGTACCCACATTTTAAAGGGGCCGTTCTAGGGTGTTGCTGAGGTTATGGTGGATGATGTTAGGCATTTGGTGGTTTAGGTTACAGACACAAGTTCAGTCTGTGTCAGGAGGTTTCAGTGTGTCTGCTTTCTCGGTTATCAGATATCTTCTGCATTTCACCACGTGTGTGTGTGTGTGTGTGTGTGTGTGTGTGTGGGGACCAAAAAATCATTTTGATTTACATAGACAAATTGAATTTCACATTTCTGTTGAGTCTCTCTGTCACACATTTTTGTTCAGTGTTATAACACATAGAAACTTTCATGTATTTTTAACAAATCTGTAGCACAAAATCAGGTGTAGTGAAGACCAACGTGAAAAGCTTTTGTCTGTTGGATTAAAATGAGAAAGCTGCATCGCGAATACAGTACATACACAGCATTTTCATTCTTACAGTTGGGGAATAGAAATGGTTTCTCGGTTGGTTTACCACATTGTGGTTTCAAATTACACCTGTTACCTCCCTTGTTAAGTCACAGACACTGTTGCCAACTGAAATCTTACTGCATCCGAGCATGTTTTATTGCCATGGGGAGTCATTTTATTTTGGCGCAAAGTGAAGACCTGTGTCTTTGTGAAATGGCTGCTTCAAATGCTGTTTTGTGGCCAACATCCTAACCATATAATATAGAAAAGTACACACACCAATGGTTGTAGTGAGGTGCTGATCACAGGAAGTAGACTTCAGAGTAGGATAAAAGTGTTGCAAAGGCTGCCTCCATATGTATTTCTCTTTTTATTTAACAGATGACGTTTTGGCCCTCGGGCCTTTTTCCTTCCCTTTTCATGACTGTTAATCTTGAAGAAGGCCGGATGGCTGAAACATCATCAGTTGTATAAAAGAGAACTACATATGAAGTCAGCATGTCACACTTTCCTACTCCCACTCTCAAATGTCATAATAATGGCATTCACAAGGAGCTTGACTCCTTCTTCTGAAATCCAAAATGGAGAAACAGATATTGAAATAACAGCTTGAGAAAGTGACAAATGAAGTCTTGTCAAAGAGCTGTTTATTTGTGGTGTACTTCCCCATCACAACATTTACCTAGTTACATGTTTTAATAGCCAGTAGCTGCTTAGTGACATGCCTCTTCCATCTTTTAACTAGGTCTGAGATGAATACTTACAAGCTTGGATCACTTACATGATAAAACTTAAAAACGTTCTCTCTTGGGAGATGACTATACCATGTTACTGCCCTGACATGTCAATGCCACTATGATCAGACACTTGCAGTTTGGGTTAATGCACATATGATGTTAAGTATTGGATTCATGACTGATCCACTCACAAGACCCCACTCATATAAAAGCCTTTGATCAGATGGGTTTTCTTTCTAATCAAAACAGGTGGATTACCTCATAGCAAAGTAAATAATGGAGACAGGTGGTTGCAGCTGCGACCAAACCTACTGTTTTATTTTAGATCACTTTTTTAAATCAAGCTATCACACTATTTATGATAAGCTTGTTTCTCTGTTTATTTTTTCCATCCAATGATGGCCTTTGTCTGTTGCTGCTCTCTCCTCTCTATCCGCTCCCCTCCTCCTTCCACAGGTCTGAGTGGAGCCATGGCGAGTATCAGCGTGCGCTCTGGTGCTCCGGGGTCCCCCACACACGTGAGCGGGAGCAGCAGTAACGGAGGTGGTGCTGGTGGAGGTGGATCTTCCGGCTCAGGGCCGGTGTGCCGCAGCAGGCGCAACGGGCTCCAAGACGTCGACCTGAACACTTTCATCTCAGAGGAGATGGCACTGCATCTGGACTCTACAGGCTCCGCCTCTGCCGGAGGGGGAGGGACCAGGAAACGAAACTCCACCCAGTGTAGTGATGTCATCACAGACTCCCCTACACACAAACGCAACAGGATGATCTGATCTGCTGCCTGCCTATGTGTGTGAGGGGGTTGGAGGAGGAGCCTTCAAAGCCAAGGCTGAGAGAGGGGGACGGATGGGCTTATGTGGGACAGATGCGCAGACGGACAGACGGACGTTCGGATGCCTGGCTGTGCAAAAGAACCCGGTCTGAAAATGAAAACAGGGACTGAAGGTCTCGGTAGGGTCTATTCAGATGATGAACGAATTCTATTCCTTGTCTCCTTTCCCCTACACTATTACTACAAATCACCAATCTGCAATCAGAACACTTGATGACGGTGTGTGCGGGTGGCTGGGAGGTCTGGACGACATCACACACTCCTCAGACATCGCCGCCCCGGAAAGGAGACAACGAAGGAAGTCCCCAAGTCATCCTGGGATGCAGACAGTTCTCAAATGGGTGACAATGCACTGTGCTGCTCGACAAGTAAAAGCCACTTGATCCTTGACACATTTGTGCCCTTCCCTCCCTTAACCTCACCCATCCTCACCCACCACCTTAATAAGGAAGTGAGGGCCATGATCAAATCGTCTCACTCAGTGAATCAAGTTGTTCGCCAAATGTTGGACCCACCTCTGTCAGAGACTCACCTCTGCATCAAACGACCCCCCCCCCCCCCCCGTTCTTTCTGTTACTTCCTCATTGTAGTTGACGTTGCCTGTCAGTGGTGGAGCTGAATCGCCCAGTAGGAGTGCACCTGTGGCATCGTCCCGCCTCACCCACTGCCTGTAACCAGTTACATCTCTCTGGCTACTAGGTTGACGCCATGTGACTACCAGTAGCAGGCCACTGATGTTTGGACATTAAGACCTTATTCTCGGCTAACTTCTCTGCTTCAACAGTGGCTTGATTTAGTCCAGCCAGTCACCCCTTTTTTGTTTTTAGTTCCTCACCCACCAGTGTTAAAAGTCTAGGTTTGTTGCCACTGTTTGCAGCAGTGATAGCCAAGTTAATTTTTGTTCTTTCATCACCTTTTTTTTTTTTTTTTTTTTTTCGGGGATAATGGAAAGGAATTTTTTTTTGTGTATACAGCTTCTCAGACAGCGTGTTTGCTGACTGCGGTGCCCTCTCCCCCCTTTACCCTAGTCTTATTACGAAAGCAGCTGCTGTTTTATGTGATCTTGTGATTATTCTGATGAGTTGCAATAAGGATTTTTGCACTTAGCTTTCACTTCTAACTCATGCAAACAAATCGGCTCTTCCATTGTATCCCAGTTGTAGCCTTGTCCAACCCTAAATCTACCCACTTGTGGTTGGTCCACACATTACTTACCGGTTGGTGCTTAGAAAAAGTAAACACTTGGTATGATTAGACATGGAGCTCGCGCGCACACCTCTGGTTCCAACAACTCTTCAAAAGTTGTTTGATCAAGTTGTGGAGCGTTACCGCGCGTGGGCTCTACTCGTGTTGAGTCCTTCCCCGTCTGACAAAATGATTTCACTTATCCGAAGATGATCAGTGCCGTAAAGAAAGCATAAATCACAGAAATGTTCTTGCAAGGGTAGTGTTGCTCAACAGACCCACCAAACATGCCAGCCAGCACACACTAGGCTCTGGGTAATTAGGCTTGCGTTGGATTGGGAGTTGGGACACGGCCTGCTTTTTGTATAAGGGATGTGTGCATTAATAAGACGTGGATGGGTTTGATTTTTACTTGGTACAGGATGGTGCAACTCGGGGCTTGTTTCATTCTTGAAATGGTCGTTGCTTTCCATCCTTCTGTAAGGGAGTCGAGCAGGAGACACTGGTATCACACGAGTCAGAAATGTGGGTATATTTAGCATTTTGTAAAGTAATGTGAACTGGTACTGTATTTTTGGCTTATTTTAGGGATTTAATGAATTATTGGAGTTAAATCTAAGCTTGTCTGTGGGCGTAATAAACTCAATTGTTGGAATATGCTTTCCTTTAGCATAGGAAGCTAACAAAGTGTAAGTGATTTAAAAAAAATCTTGAGTTGTCTAGTAATTAAACAAATTCTCAATATTTCCAGTGATACCCTGCCGTAGTAGTGATACAGTAAAATGTGAGAGAGTTGGCTGGGGCGTAAACCCCACCAGCTGCACCTGTAGCTGACTTGTGGGATGTCAATGTTTCCTTCTCCTTTTCCACTTTTTTGTTAACTTGTTCACTCCCGTTCACCTTTATGACCTGGAAAGTGGGGTTTCTTTTGTTGTATAAAGCATGCCAGTTTTTAACTTCTGTTACATTTTGGTCACAGATTTCATTTTTGCGTTATAGGTTGGCTTTTATATTCATACATGATTACTGGCTTGTCGGTGAAAGAAAAGAACCAGGCTGAGATTTGTTAAGAGTTGTGCATTCAGGAGTTTCTCCTTGCAAACCACTGAATTAGACTGATGAAAATATAAACCTCGTATTAAGGGAGATTTTATTTGCCTACAAAGAGTATTTGATTACTGTGAAAGAGGGCCAACGAGTAATTCATGTTGAGGCCAAGTTGGTCTCTAAAAATTAATCTTTTGCAAAGAAAAAAAAAAAAAGCAAATGTCTTGAAAGTTCTGGTTAGCTTCAGCTATCACAGGTCTGATGAATAATGTAACATAGGAAGGATCCATGTTTCTTGAATAGGAACTTCGCCCTAAAAGTCACACTTAGTGTCCGTCAGAGTCTTAGGCTCTGGGACCTCGCAGAGTGCTCATGGAAGGATATGGTGTCAGGGCCGACAGAGGATTGGAGATGAACTGACCTGATAGCCCGTCCACACGCTCTTCATTAAATCAGAAGAATGCATTTAGAATATTTTAGTTTTCTTTCTCCAGACACCGGACATCACTATTTTGTGTCTTAACACTCCACATTGGCTGAAACCAAATGGTGTGTTTGGTTACAAAAGAGTAGTTACAACCTCCATGTGTGTCTGTTGCATGACAACATGTCAGTTACAGGGAATATGTAAAGTGTCTGCTGACAGGAAAAATGTACCAAAATTAAGACTATCCATAGATAGTTGTTTTTTTCTAAAGAGTTGGCTACAAGCAAGATTGTGCTGTCTTTCCAATCCACTGTTGAACCTGCAGCGTTGACCCTCACTGATTATCCTGGTTATAATAGAGGGGCGGAGGGGCACTTTGTGTTTTTCTTTTCTTCCCCTGAGCCAGTCACCGGCCTTCATCCACATTGTTTCAAAAGGCTGACTCATGCCACGTGTCTCTGGAGCCAACACTATTATCAGCTATTTCTTGATACTTATTTGTTTAAAAAGTAATAAATGGCTAATCTATATACTTAACATTTAATTGTTGGTATGATATATGTGGTTCACATTGTAAAAGAAATAAAACCATTGAGTTGCAATTGGATGGACTATGTTTCATTAAAAAAAAAAAAGAAAATGGAGAGTTTTGTTTTATTTGGTTGCTTTTTAAAAAAATGTATTCGCTTAACATTGAATCCATCAGGGTTCTTTATGTTAACACAGCCATTTATGTCAACTTGCAGCTCTTTAACTTTTGGAAAAGAAGTACGGGCAAGTCACATTTGCTCGTGTGATCACTCAGTTTAAATAGTTTATTTTTTTTCCATTCCTTGCTGTTTGCACATATACAGACTTGTGACATGCAAATGAGGAACGGTAAGCAGGTATAACTAAACATTGAATATAAAGTATAAATAAATATAAAGGTATAATTTGCCTTTTTGTACTGTATTTGATTCTGTTCTTTGTCAAAGAAGAGGTTGAACATGTACATATTTCACAATGCCCTATGAAAAAACCCTAAAGATTTGTATGTTTGTTGAAGGGGCCTTTAAGATAAGTCATTGTGCAGATCATTGATTTAGCTGATGTTTACAGGTGGGTAGGAAGACAAATGCTTGAGTCATGCATTAGAAATATTGTAAGCAGACCTTTTCACACCTTTTAAGAGGTGACAATTTCTGCACTGAGCTATTCAAGGCTCACAGAGATGACATGATGAGGGGCAACATTTCTGTTAGAGTGAAGCTCTGTGTTGGGCCAGTAGGGGGTGCCAGAAAACAGCATTAGAAAAACTCACTTTTTCTACATGCAAAGGGTCTATGATGAGGAAATGTAGGAAAACAAGCCTGTAAAGTTTATTTTACCCTGTTCTGATGAAAACTGCCATTGTGAGTCTGTCTCTAAGAGTATGTATTGTCTTAAAGGTTTACTTTTGTATTTAAACGGCATTATTTTTTATTTGAGGGTCCCTGATTTGTTTGGCTGTATTATGCAAAATGCACTTGCAAGTGGGTCACATTATAAATGTCCAGCTAATGGTTTCACACTATGCCACGGATCAACAGGTGGCAGTAATGCGCCGACAAAGGCAGAGAAGAATAAGATTGCCAGCAAGTAAATATGGATGTAAACAATGCAGGATTTAAACGTTGAGCCATTGAAACCTTGTATGTGAAAGGAAATGCATTCAATATGTTTGTTCGACTTTTTGCCTATTATCACCATCAAATGACAGTCAGCAGAATTGCATAAAACTGGCAACAGTAATGTCTGTTATGCTCCAGGATATTACAGAGACCCACTCATAGAAACATTAGCTCCACGAGGTACCTTTAAATGAAGAAAATTCCAAAATTAATGGACAGCTCAGCCTTCATATCCGCAACATAAACATACAGAAGACAGAGCCGAGGCAACTTGAGACAGATTTGCGTTTATATTTATTTATTTGCTGCAGTGTTTTAAGTGTTGGCCCTGGTTTTTTGTGTGCTCACAGAAAATAACAAAGGCATCAGAGCACAGAGGGCTGTCCTGCACACATCGACATGTTTAAAGTAAAGGGCCAGTGTGTAGGATTTAGTGGCATCTAGCCGCAAGAACCAAGAAAGAAAGAGGCTAGGAAACTCATGAAAGGCCCTATCTAGAGCCAGTGTTTGGTGTGTCTGTTCTGGGCTACCGTAGAATCACCTCATACTCCGTAGAAGAGGACCTGCTTACGTTTAATATAACAGCTTATTAAAAGGTAACGAAAACAACAATTCTTGTTTTCAGATGATTATGCACTAATAAAAACATGAATATTATATTTCTGCCAATAGAGCCTCCTAAATGTTACACACTGGACCTTTAGGATTGCAGTTGATCATTTTAAACACAAAATAAAAATAGAAAATAGTATTAAATTAAGTTTTATGACAAATGACAAGCCGGTGAAGAAGGAATCAAACAAACACGTTCTTCAAAATCAAGAATACGACAGACTAAAACAGCAGTGTACTGCTCTGTTGCCCAAATGATCTGTGGACATGAATAATATACAGCCAACATCCTCAAACAACTGTTGTCGCTATTGTTTTGGTCCATGGGTGGTATTTTACAAGCTGTGTGTTCCCACATTCCTCCACCCTTCATCTCCTTCCTCTCACAGCTCCTCCTCATCTTCACCTACTGCTGCTGTCAGAGAGCGAAGCGAGCCACACAAAAGGTCCTTGAGTTTCTCCACAGCACACTGAGCAGACTGCATGGACATCATTGGAAAATCACAACTCAAAACATACCTAAAACCTTTTGGATGTAAGACTTTTCTCTGCAATTTGGAGCTGCAAACGTACAAACTACTGCAGCTGTGTCACGTTTTATTCATTGTGTGCTTTTCTCATACTAAGACTAGAATCATATAAGGGTTCTTAATAGGACCAAATGTTTTTCTGTGGGCAGAGAAACTTAGTGGCAGAAGGATAGAAGGTGAGATCTCAGAGTCAATTCCAGTCTGATGAGAGACCCTGATCCTGACCTGGAACTGGCTGGAAAGGATGTGGATCCTGCTCAAGGTCTTGGGGCAGGACTCAGATCTGGCTGAGAGGCAGGAACTTCTGGTAGTAGCTCTTGGTTACATCAATCATCAGGTCCTGCGTGCACTCTGGGAGCTCTCCTGAAAATAGACCTGGGAGAGAGAAAGATGAACACAGGTAAAGACGTGACACGATGGCCGGAAAGAGGAAGCGAGGGCTGAAAGAGGTGTTTGTGTTGGTGTGGTGTAGCTGACCTGGGCATCCGGAGAAGACGGTAAAAGGTGGCACCACTGTCTCAGGAGGGAGTACGGTGTTGTCTAAGATCTTGCAGCAGTCCTTCAGCACACAGCGACGACCCTGTACACAACAAACAAACAAAAACATTGTTATGTGTCATGTTATCACAGTGAGGAACACGCATGAACTCAAAAAAATATATCTTTTTATATAGGGGTAGGGGCAATTCATCCTAGAATGCACTTTTACAAGGATAATACACAGGGCTAGGTATAAGCAGTGTTGGGCTAGATACTCAAAAAAAATGTCATTTATTACTCCCTGCCAACAGAGATTAGTTACACTACTAGTTTATATTACTCTTCTGCTACTCCCCACTAAATTGGTAATGGTGTCTCTTCTCTCTGAGAACGATTCAAATACAGTTTTGTTTGTTAAAATATAGTTTTGTTTGTTTGTTTGTTTGTTAAAATCAAAGTAATGGAATATTTCCAGTGGCTGAATGTAAACGTTTCCATATCCCAAACTAGTTTCCTCCACAATTACAAAAATGAATCCAAGGATGTGATTGGATTGTTGGATTTCAGATCAGTAGAAGGTGACAACAGAAGTAATTGAATTCTTTTGTAATATTTTTACTGAAATGTATTTATAATTAGTTACACTACTAGTTACTGGGGAAAGTAATATTTTTACTGTATTATTACTAGTAATGAGTTACTGCCCAACACTGGCTATAATGACATATCTATTGTATGTTTTATTTAAACTGTTCATTCTAATGGCATTTCTATTTTTATAATCATGTACATGTGCCTGCTCCAGAGGCTGTTTATATTGTGTCGTTTTCTACTAATTTAAAAATGCAGCTAAAACATCAGCTAATGAAATAAAGTCTGAGCAGCATATCCACCACTGTACATTGTTCCTGCTTTTTTTAATTAACTTGTAACGTTTTCTGTTGTTTACCATCATGTTTATACCTGTCCTCTAGGATCTTTGTTTATATTCTGAACAATTAAAAACCAGTAAAACGAAAAAAATACATAATTATATTGTTTTATACTGAAAATAATAATAGAATTATAGAAACCAAAATCAAGACATATGATTATGTACAATTAACATACTTCTCTGTTTATAAAACCATGTTAAAATCAGCCTTTTCAATAGTGGCATCCAGCAAGGAAACGGTAAATAAATGGTTATTTAATCTGGTAATCTGCTCCTGCTATTGTCAGACTGCTCAACTGCAATAATACGTAAAGCATTTAATTAAATGTGTTTCATGTGATATTCCACACCAGGTCTGTGCCTGTCTGTGTTCAAAGCAGCCTGCCAGCAGTTTGCTGCTGCGTTTAGTTCATCTGAAGATGACTATCATGTGACTGTTTCCCCACAGGCGAGAGCAGACAGTGCCTCTGTTGATGTCCTCTTCATTGGGACAGAGCTTTGTCTCTTTCAGCGTGGTTTCCTTATTCTGACGATCGGCTTGGTTGTTCGTGTATGTGTGTGCCATCTCACTCACTATGACACAGTTCTTGCCAATATGGACATAGGAACCAATCTGTGCTGCATTGACCACACAGTCCTCCTCGATGAAGACGTGGTCTCCGATGTGCAGCGGGAAGAACGCCACTCTGGAGGGAGACAGTGAGGGAGGAGAAAGAGATGAAGTAGAGGTTTTTGTTTACACGCAGCAACCAGAAATATGGAATTCTTCCTGTCCATTTATTGATAAACTCACTGACAGAAAATCAATCCGCTACAATTTTAAAAAATCGGCTGTTTTAGTCATTTTTGGTTCCAGCTTCTCTGTGAGGACCTTTGCTGCCTATTTCTTTGTCTTATAAGAGATCACATGACTGGTTTTTGGATTTCTTGTGCCAAAAAAGCAATTTAAAGCAGGGGACATTTGCATAGGCAGCATTTTGGTTTCTGGGGAACCAATGCCGATTAAGGCAGATTTTAATTATTTTTCTCACATTTTTACCAGACAAATAACTTAAAAAAAAAAAAAAGGGTGAATATATAATGAAAATAATCGTTATTAGCTGTACAATTCTGTGATGTATTGATATAGTATTGGTATCAATATTTGAATCTGCCTCGTCTTTAATTCAGTGTCACATTTAAGTGAGTTTTCTAAACATATATAACTGTTCTGAATTAAATAAAGAATAAATGTGTTTGCCTGTTGTCCATTTACATTCTGATCATTCATATAGTCTCAGTTTAAAGTTTATGAAAGCACCACCAGTCACACCCAAGTCATCATCACATCATCCAGTCAAAAAATAGGAGAAAAGGATGGTTTACCCTTTGCTGAACTTTTTAAAAGGTGGACGGATGACACTCCGGCTCTTCACCACACAGTGTCTGCCCACCCTGACATTAGCCAGGTCCCCTCTGATAATGCAGTCATTCATGACAATAGTCTGGAGGAGAGAACACACACACACACAGCGCATTGATAACAACATTACACAGAGCTGTATAATCCACAGGCAGGCAGATGTCTTTTTGCTTACTTTGCCATTGAGGACGATGTTTTGACTCCCGCACAGCACCGACTGTCTGCTCACTTTGTTGCCAGAAGCCTGAAATCAAACGGCAGCAATGGTTAATAATTGCATTAAAGTGTGTTTCTGTCTTTATTGTCTGTCTAAACTGAGCACAATGACTTCAGCCATCCACACCCAGCGGCCAGCGTCAGCTAGCTGAACAGACAGCGACTAGCT